AGGTTGTATCTAATAGACATGTCTGGTTTCGAAATATGTTAGCTAACAGAAAGAGAGAGAATAGAAACGTGCGATATAGGTCGTCGAAAGGAGTCCCGAGTTGATCAGACTCGGAGGAGGCCCAGTCGACGAGGAAGAGAGAGAGATAGAGACGAGAGTGAGAGATGGTTGTTGTCGAGAGACTAGCTGTCAAAAATATGACGCGCTCGCTGGCCCGAAGGGGTAGGTGGCGCGTCACGAGAGGGAGAGAGGTTCGCTCGAGGGATAGACAGGGTATGAGTATCTCGATTGAACGCTGGAGTTTGTACATACAGATCTGGGTTTATATACGGTTCATGGGCGCTATAACAGCTCTAAGGTTCGGGAAGACTCGGGCTAGATACGAGTGAGATAAGAGAAGCTGAGAGATCGAGGAGAGACAATCCCGAAGCACGGAGTCGATCAGGTACGAAGGGAGAGAAGAGAAGTAGCGCGTGACGCGGGCGCTACAGCAGCCTTGACGCCGTTTATCATCAGTCAGACGGGTGCGACACATCTCTCTGCCTCCCTGTCGGATCACTATATGTGTTCCCACCCGCCGAAAGCAATTTAAGTGCGAGTACAACCTGCTCCCTACCTCCGCTCGCTGTTGTTGAACCTGGGAACGGTTCGCTCGCGTTCTATGATCGGTCCGTATTCTTGTACAAGAGGATCACGAATTAGCGATGTCCCATATCATCCTGACGCACTTCGACTCCCGCGTCCTGTTCTTCTCGCCTCACTTCGCCTCCCGCCCCGCGAAGGTGCGACCCTTGACCAAGACCGCATGAAGCGCATCGCATGGCGAGGACATGCTCGACGCGTCGCTTCTATATGGGCGAGAATGCAGTTATTTTCGGGCAAGCAGCAGTAGTAGGACAGATGGGTGAGTATTACAGTCCGTGGAGAATGTTCTCCGCTCCGCGCTCTCCATCCCTTTCCAATCTCCTTCGTTCGCTGATTTCCGCTTCCGTCAGCTTTTCCCTTCCGTCCTTTCGCATCCAACATCCCCCACTGCGCATCATTAGCCCACAATCGGAAGCCGGTATGGTACGGTACGAACGGGCGTCGTTGTCTACGTTTACGGACTCTACTAAGCCGCAATAGCGGAATGGGCCAATTGTCATGTGCGTAAAACCTTATGCCTTTCTGCCTACCTTCTCGTCATTGGTATCCCACAACTTGAACACGTACCATCTTGTCCTGCCCTGATTTTCTGCTCGATCATCGTGAATCGGCTGTTGCAGACGCTATTGACAAATAAGAATGGACCTCGCGTAGTTGATAGTATGCTCGCGGCACCGCGACCCAAATCACGGCAATGACCTAGCCTGCTGAAGGCATTTACCAACACGTAAATGGGCTGGCACGCATTCTCGACGATGGTATGAAGAGATACATGGAAAGCTGAGGCTGCACAGGGCCAGTGGTATACAAGGTCTTCGTCGCATGACTGCAGGCTGGAGGACGTGTAGGCTGTCGTCCATGGCGAAGACCTGTGAGCGGAGGGCGTTCCATGGATAGCCGGCTCTCAATGTTATCCCATGTTAGGCAGAGACTGCTCGTCTGTGCGAGCCAAGAGACATGGAAACGTGTATCCTGCATGTGATCTAACATTTATCGTCGTACCACGGTGTAGATCGCAATTTCTCCTCTCATGCTCCGCCAAGCGGTTCCGCAATTATATACGCCCACAGGGAACCTACCGCCCGCTTCACGCGCACGATCCTCCAACCCGCAGACCGAGCGAGTACGTCCATTTCCCGAAACGTCCGCTCCTTCGCATCGAACCGCCCCAGCATCTAATCATTCCCATTGACAATGAGCCCCTCGATGAATGTCATCGACCACAACAGCAGCCGACGCACCGTGATGTCCAGGATGTAGCCATTCGCGCTCGCGCGACCCAGGTTCGGGAGGAGCGGAGAGCCATCAGGGACCAACGAGCGCACCGTGCCTAACGGGTCCGCGTCCGCGTCGCCCGATCGCCCGTTCTCCCCACCCGCGCTCTCGTCGTCTACGCACGCGTAGGGAAGCAGGTTGTCGACGATCAGCAGCTTCGTTTGCGGGCCCGCCGCCCGTCGCAGATTCAGCAAGATCCTGAAAACCGCGCCAGCGTGTAAGCCGTCATTTACGTGCGGACAGGACACGGCTGACTTACTCCCAGACCTTCTCGTCAGGCCAGTTATGCGCGACGGCCCTCAGGAGGTACACTGTGGGCTCGTGGACGACGCCGATGCCCGGGACGCGAAACAGGCCCTGGGGCTGGAAGAAGTCCTGCCCGTGGAAGGATACGCGGCCCGCCTGGAAAAGCTCCGCGTGTCTGCTGCCCCAAGCCTATTGGCGGGGCACAATGAAGAGATCAGCGACGACAAGACGAGTAGCGATCACAATCTAGTAGCCTATGCAAACGCCAGTGGGTAGGTTAAGGGTGCCTACCTGGGGCGCAATCGCCACGACCGGCGCCCGGTCTTCAACGACGAACCGTAAGTGCGGATACGCCTCGGCGAGGATGACCGACACGGAACCAATCCCCCCACCCACGTCGACAACGACCGCGTCCTGTGGGAGCTCGTCCCATGCGAACCCTGCCGGAGTTCGCACGTCAGCTCGGTTTCGGCCTCTCCGAGCAAGGGGTGGATGAAGAAGAGGGCCGCACCGTGTATGACATTCTCCGCCAATTCCCATTGCCGCGTCCCGTTCATTGAATGCCCGAACCTGCGCATCCTGCCTTTGTTCCCGGGCTCTTCGAGCCAATCGTAGTACTTCAGTGGTGTCTTGAACGCGAGGTTGAAGGCAGAGGCGTAGTTTGCGCCTCCGTCGTCGACCAGCCAATCAGATAGGTAGGACATCACCTTGAATACTTCGTCTCCGCTGAAAAGACACCATCAGCAGGGCAGTCTGGTCAGTCGAAGGGTAACTTGCGATGTGGCGAGGTACGCAGCAACACCATCGGTTCCGTCGTACTTCTCCTCGGGGCTATCACGACAGCACTCATCTAGGGAAGTGAAGTAGAACAACTACAGAGACAGAACGTACGACCGAAGAAGCTCCTTAGTTGACTTGCCGGTATCAAGGAAGGACGAGAGACGGTTGTTTGCGAAGACGTCAGGCTTCACTTCGCGGAGCCAGTGGTATGTCGCCAAGAGGCGTAGAACACGGCCTGAGTACATCTCAGCATCCAGCCAGTGGAATGAAGTTCGTCAGAATTACCAAACGCGCAAACTCACCCAGCTTTGCCGGGTCCAGACTTACAGGATCGGGCCTCCCATCCTCCGTCTTGCGGTGCAATCCGCCAGCCTTCGACGCGATCTCCTCGACATGCAGGCCGTCCGGGCCTGCTTCGCGGAGTATCTCCACGACGTTCGCAGATTCCAGAACCTGCAGACACGCGAGGAAGGCGCCCTGTATAGCGACTGCGCATGAGTGTATCCGTCGCATGTGGGGACGAATGCCGAGATCTGAGACGCACGCACCGCGTTGACGCTCTCGACCAGAGAGTAGAACGGTTTATGGACAGTCGCAGTTAGCTGTCCGCACGCAGCCACTATGCGGTTTGCAGCCGCGAAGACCCTTGGCTCGATTGTGAGTGCTTCGGCCATGGCGACATCGGGCGCGTGCTTCTGGGTGGAGTAATAGGGGTCGTCCAGGTGCGGATAGTCGACCTTCGACGGCGCGGACTTGTAAGTTTTCTCCATGTCGTCCAGCGATCTCCCTATCTCTGCGTGTAGTGCTCGGAGGGTAGAGAGGGCCATCTTGAGAATCCGGACAAGACGAAGCAAAGCGATATGCGAAGGGTTTGTACGACTTTATAGCCATCGAAACACCATCCTCAGGAAGTCCTCTGCGGACAGGGTGAGAACGTAAGGTGCTGCTCTGTCCCAGAGGTTTGGAAGACTATGAGTTCTGCAAGCCGTCTGACATTGACTTACCCTTGTACCGGAAGATGCTTGCACGGACTCAGAGAACGCGGCGCCCGCGGCGTCACGAGCCGAAAACTAGTACGTACCATATTGACGGGCTTGTATGCGTACCGCTATCACAACCCGGCACATCTGCTCATGGGTTGTCTTTGAGGACACATCGGTGGTTGTAATTGTACTGAGACTACCTGCCAGAGACGGGTCGGAGAGTAGCCAGAACGTTGGAACTTGGACACTCCTCGGGCTTTATAGGTTTGAGAGAGTTTGCGCGTAGTCTGCGGGTTACGCTCCAAGCGTTTTGAACCATCCAGACTCCAAGCCAAGATCGACAGTTACTATGGAGTATCCACAGGGAGGCTACATAGTACTGTCGTGGATGAAGCGACGGAGCCCAATGAAGAGTGTCCATGATGGATTATCGATGATGGGAGCCGGGCGCTCCGAGTTACTTCGGCATTGCAGCCTGCGAAGATTATATTCGGGTTTATTCGACATAGAAAATCTAGCAGTATGCTGCTCCCACCGGGCTATGCCCAGTCGTGCAACATTTCTGCTATTCAGTCTCTCCATGTGCAGATCGAGCTTGGACAAGGCGTGCGCTGCATAGCCAGCACGAAGATGCGGAAGAAGACGTTAAATATTGTATTCAATCTCATGGATTACGTATAACGGTTGAAAAAGCCGACGACCTCCCTAGAAACACAACACGGCGCGTGTAGTCGACAGATAATAGAGAAGCTATAATTGTTGAATGGTCTAGCGATCAATCAGTCGGAACTGTCCAAATAAGTCGTCAGCCAGAGCTGTTTCTGGGGCGGATGAATGGGTCTTTACCAGGAGGTCGATCCACGTATTCTTCTCGCAAGTACCACGCGCCTGAACAAGACCATTAGCGCCATGCACCCGACGGATCCCTGCGATACGTACGATCTCCAGTCATGGTCTTCTCGTTCCACGTCTGACCGTCACCTAACCAGTACATCCTGTTAGGGATGGGGTCCGCTTGCTCATAGTTGTAGTCTTCCCATCGAGGGTGACGAAGAGCTTTCAGAGCGTGCAAGGTGGATCCTGCACCGGCGATAGTCAGTACGTGCAGAGCCGTCTGAGAAGGCGATCTATACCTGGCCAAAGCCCGACAATCCTACCATCAGACTTGTTCATCTTGTACCAAGAACGGCAGTTCTCGCTATAAACAGACTGCGCCCGCGTAAGACTCGCGAACGATCAGAGTCGACGTGTATATTTTACCTTCGGGAAATAGCTCTACCAAATCCGGTACGTCAGCACAGCATGCATCCCTCGAACTGAACGAGCGCACATCGATGTACTGGTCGAAGTCGCGGAGTGCCTCCGGCTTGACTTCGATACTCTTGAGGCGCTCGCGCTGCAGCTTTGCAGTCGCTTGGACAGCGTACATGATTTCGAACTCCATGAGAGCGAGCAGCGACCCAGAACCGACACCCGAGTTCGGCCCGAATGACATGAAGAAATTGGGGAACCCGTCAACGGCGACTGACAGGTAGGAGACGGGATGAGGCTTCCAGCGTTCGTTGAGCTCGACTCCATTACGCCCGACGATCTTGAGAGGTAGCTGGAATGTAGTATCGTACCCTGTTGGATGAACAGGAGTGAGCAAGAGCGTGAAATGGTGCAGAAGGCAACAAGATACCGGTAGCGCAGAACACCACGTCGAATTCTTCATGTTTGCCATCGATAGTTTCTATGCCTGTCTCCGAAAAGCGCTTGATCGACGTGCTATTGAACTCTACCTGTGCTCGATGATCGTCCCAGACTACGTGAGAAACATACAAAAAGCGTGGAAAAGGTGCTCAGAACTCATACTCACGTTGTCTTCGCACAGGGCCTCCAGGTACCCAGGGCCAGGAGTAAGTCGCCGGCATGCGACTGGGAAATCAGGTATCACTACCATAAGTTCGGCGCAGGCCGAATGCATTCGCGATTAGCACCGTGACCCCTGGGGAAGCTACAAGGCGAGAATATTGGACAGCGTCACGTACATCTCTCAGCGATCCACGGCTTCTTCGCCAGTTTCTCCTCCATGTTCTGCCTGAACACTTTTTGAGCAGTCAGCTGCATCTCCGTGCCTCGTAGGGTCGATGAGTGCAGCGACTGCGTCCGTCACCTGGTGAGAATCTAGTCCGGAAGATTAGTATAGCCTAATACCTACGTTGATGTCGTGTTCCACGGTCCAGCGGAAGTGATCGTAAAACTTGTCATCTGTCCTCAGGCGTTCAATCTCCTCCGGCGTGAACTTGACTATTGGCGGCACGAAGCCCGGCTCAGTCGACGTAAACGGAATAGCGCAGCGCATTGCTCACATTCTTCCGCCGTCTTGGGCTCACGTCCCAGCAGCGCTGCGAACGTGTTGGATCCAAAGGGCACCGAGAGCCACGTCTTCCCCCTGACGTAGTTCACAAGTCTCGCAACCCGCGGCTGAAGCGCAGGCACAAGTTGCAGCGCGCTAGATCCCTAAGCGCGACTGTTAGCACGAGCCCCCGTCAGCGACAGCGTCGTAGGACACTCACCACGCCGATCACGCCGACCTTCTTGTCCTTCCACGGCTCCACGACCTCCTGCCACGTCTTGTCCGCCGGGTCGAAGCCCGCGCTGTGGTGGAGCACGCCCTTGTACTTGTCTATCCCCGGGATGTCGGGCATCTGCCACCGGCTGAGCGCACCGAACGCGGTCACGACCACGTCTGCGACGTCCTCTATCTGCTCCAGGGCGCCGGTCTCGGGATTCGCGCGACGGACAAGGATGTGCCATTTCCCGGTGGTCTCGTTGTACGTCGCGTGCGTGACTTCGTGGGAAAGCTTGACGTACTTAAGCACCTTGTACTTCTCCGCGACGTCCTCGATGTACTTCCGGATCTCGGCGCCAGGTGCGTAGTACGACGACCAGTCTCGCTGTGGAGTGTCGGACACTGTGGGGGGCGTGAACGGACGGAAGCGTACCTTCACTTCGAATGTCAGTTGATACTGCGGGGCCGTCAGCCGCATTCACGAGTATGAGCGGCGAACGTACGCAATGGGATGGTATATCGCAAGCCAGACCGCTAAGCATCATGAGGTTCGTGACACGGCCAGCAGGGAATGAATGGAGACTGACGGGTATCGGTTACTGAACCAGGTGCCACCAACGCCGGCGCTCTTCTCGTAGATTGTGAGGTCCAGGTTTGGGATCTTCTGCGGGAAACTGAAGTCGACCGTAAGGGGGAGACAAGGGGGACAGGAGGATGAGAGCGGACCGAATGCCTGCTATGATTCCGCTGAACCCAGCGCCGATAACAACGACCTTGATGGGCCTGTGCTCGTCTATGGAGAAGTCGCCAAGAGGGTACGGATAGACGTTGGGAACGGTCTCGTTCGCGGTCTGGGGAGTACGAAAGGAGGTGCTACCGGCCATACTGGAGGTGGAGATGCGACCTGTGCGAGCTCAAGCTTGCGATGCAGCGGGAAACGGAGATAAGTTTATATACAGAATCGAGCTGCCGCCATACCTTCGCCGTTAGGCTTGCGATGGGGCCTCGATCGAAAGGGGCCGCCTTCAACCGGCCGGTTCCCATGACTGAAACAGAGTAAGCTCAGCGGTTCAAATAGCGTATTTGGCAATACTAGTGTCGGCAGAAAGAAGTCACGAGACGGGGATACGCCCAAGATGGGTGACTCTCTCTCACCTGCACCCACGGCCTCGTCGCTGCGCGTTTCGCGCTTGGACCCATTAAGAGCGCGTCTTCGAGTCCAATAGACTGGCAGTACACTGACGAGTATCGTGGGCATGTTCGTGTATCCAGCAGAGCGCAGATGGTAAGGCACGATGGTTGCGTAGGATTCTGGGTCACGAGTCTGCCGGAAAGAAGTCGACCGGCAATATTTCAGCCTCCTGTCGCTCCAAGGGCTCTGTTTCTCCCCGCGTGGACAGTACGCGTATACGTCCTCACGTCGTCCCATGACGATACGGCTTGTGGCTGTCGCGCTAGGGTACGGTTAGAAAAAGAATCGTTTTCGAACAGAGAGTTATGAACAGGCGCCCGGATCACGCCGTTTCTGACCGGGATTAATAACTGTTATAAACTGTTGTGTCATTGGCTGTTAAGGAGATTATCTAACGCTGCCGAAATATATCAACAGTCGTATTGCATCGATGATCACCACGCTTCCCATTATCTTGCCTGGCTCGCAATCTGCTACCCTATCCTCATCGTAATCCTTGTCTCCATCATCTGGGTCGCACAAAAGCATGCGCAAGGCTTTCGCATGGAGATCAACCTCGCCATCTACCTTGAACTCGGTATCTTACGCCTACCGCCTTCGACCGGACTTTTGAACAATATATGACCGGGCTGATAGACCCCTGGGCTTTTGAACCGTTAATTAACATGTTAATAACCTGTTAATCAACACCGGGTTCATTATTCTGACTTTCAAACTATACCCTATGTCGCGCGCATGAATTTGGCTACGCTCACCGGCTATCTCGTCAAGCAGTCTCCTATGTTGTGGTCTGCCGCGTTTGGTGGGACTGTCCTAGTCGTCGTCATCGTCGTGCCCGATTGGCTGGCGCTGCTGTCGGTCCCGCCGCCGTTTCGTCTTGGTGAGAACGATTTCATACACTCCGTACGTGTGTGTAGTACGTCCGCGGTATGTTGTTTGAGCTCGATTGATGAGCTATGTCGGAGACCACCAAGAGAGCCGCTCCGAGATGATACGTGCCACATTCAGTCCTGATTTCGTAGCCGTGAAGGGCGGAAAGGCATGCATCGGGTCGAGCAGCAGCGGAGTGCGGACGTGCCAGGCAAGCGACGCAAGACGTCTGCACATGGACGTCGACTCGAACTTGTACCACAGCCAGCGCGCCAGCGCCTGCACGTTGCCTCGCTCTGTGCTCCTTTGGACATCGCCTCGCACCTAGCATCTCACCATCGTCCTGGTTCTCCCTCGCATTCGACTGGTGTGCCCCCTGCTGTCTACATAGCTAGGCCTCACAACCCCGCGGTACGTCTATCCTTTGCTACTCGGAGATATGCTTCTGCACGCAGTCCCAGGAAACCGTCTTCGAGGAGCTCTGTCGCATTCGCCCCGCCCTGTCTTCAGCCTGCAGGACGCCTATGTCTTTTATGGATACGTACAACTTGCCAGAGGTCATTTTTGTGGCAGGTGGAAGCTAAGGGCCGTGCATTCAGTCAATATGCGCCCTACTGACACATGCGATGTGCTTGTGAGCATCACCGGCTCTCGCCTTCATCTTCTGGAAACGTGCACAAGGATCCGCTATATTGCGCCGAGAAATGCTCGTGGTACGTAAGTTCTCATGGTGCTGGTAGCCAGGGGAAGTTTTGCTTTGTCTTCCCTCTCCGGCTGCGGCCAGGACGGGATGCGATCCTATGTCTTGCGAGATGCGCCTTCCTCCTCCCTCCTCCCATCTCCGGAACGGCTCCGACGTAACGAACAGCCCGCGCCATATCCCCTCCAACGATCGGCGTCCTGCCGCGTCCGGCACCCGCGCGTGTCCGGCCCATCGCGACGCCCACTATTCCTGGCGCACCCACACACCTGAACTCACTCGCACGACATTCACGCCCTCAACAGCTCCGGCAGCCCCAGCGCCTTATCCGCAGACGACGCTCGACTGGCCGGCTTCCATGAGCTTGGGGAGCCCTGCTATCGCAAAGTCGGAGGGCCGCTCCCAGCACCGAAGCCGGCCCTGTAGCCGATAGCGGATATGGTGCAGCGTTCGGGGTGGCGGACGCGAATGGCGCGATTGTGGCGATAGCGCACAAGCGGCTTGGTTGGAGGGTACGTTCTCGTTCTCGCCATCTTCTATCCTAACATATTCATATCTCCTGTGCTCGACGTCTTTTTGCTCGAACCACCCGTCCATCTCGTTTTTGCGGAGTCGGATGTCGAACCCAGCTCGGTGTCTGGAGCGAGTTGAAGGTCGGTCGCTGATGCACTGGTTCTCATACGCAAGACAACAACATCTTCCCCCTCTAGATCCTCCAGGGCGCGCACACCCTTGAGATCTGCTGCGACGCCGAAGTCTCTATGCCCAAGGATGTTGACCTAGCTAGCCGACTCGCGACACACCGCCGCCGACAGGCAGCGTTCAAGGGTAGCCGTACTCGCTACATGTCCCCTGTCGTCTACGTACACTGCGCGCCCTCTACCCTACGAGCTAATTCACATCTATGCTATCTTTGCATGCAGATCAAATGATGTCCACGACGAGACAATCAGCTTTCTGCCTTCCTCGGCCATCAGCAAAAGTGCAAAATGGTTGGCTACGGTTGGCTCGATTGGCCATGGCACTCAAAATTGGCGTGAATTATACTTAGCCCCAATTGAAGGGGAATCAACTAACATTTGCAGGATGAATTGCCCCAAAGGTCCATGTATAGAATATCGCACAGCCCTCTAGGGCAGACTGACGCCCTGTCCCGATTCAGCCCCCCGACAGCTTGACGTGCGACGTCATCTAACACCTATGACGCATCACTACGAACGAGGCATAAAGCCAGACCCATCCCTCCCGTTTCTCGACAACTTTTTCCCTCCTAACTCCCATCTCTCCGCTGTACTCTCCTCATCGTCTCCGCTGTGACTGGGCCCATGAGGCGTCCTTTCCCTGCCCATACTGCACCCGCCTGCCAAGGCAACTAGTCACAGTATCCATGAGCACTCGGAAAACAAGGTAAGCACGCCTGTTTCGGGCATGGTCACCGCATATATGCGCCGAAGTATGAAGGTACGTACATGGCTTGGGTGTCGCGCAATAAGCTATAGTCCATAAGTCTTTGTGTGTCTCGCCAGTAGTAGGTCTCCGCATCCCATCCATCGGTGAGTGCGGCAAGTGTCCATCTGTCAGTGAGTCTATCCGGTTCCCTATAACATTGTAGTATGTAGCTATTGTAGTATACTCCATGCACGTCGTACCATTCCGTACCTTGTTTACCTTATGTCATATCCTCGCAATATCATCTTCTCAATCACGTGCCAAAATTGAGCGGAATCGCCATAGTGTGTGATTACATAACGCGCCTTATTTGTGCAATCCAGCAAACTTCTGACCCATTCAAGCATGCTTGAAGAGAGTCTCGAAAATCGAAGCTTTTCGAGGCAAGTGATTGTGTCAATTGGCTTCGATTGGCCTGATTCGCTTTGGATATAATATGCTATCCCTATTGGATAGCAGTGGAATCAGAGAGAACTTAGCATGCTTGTGACAATTGGATGGTCAACTTGGACGACATGTTCTTGAATGGCTTTGAACGTGCTGCAAGCCAATCAAAATGCAATTTTGCTGATGGCTACATCCGGGGCGAAATCGTGATGATCCACCCCGCGTTCGCCGACTCACCAGCCTGCTACCAACCATACCTGCGGTGAGAGAAGGCTTCTCCCACCCCGTTCCCGTACGTGCATTCACATCACGTCGGGGAGGAAGTACCCGCACTGTTACCGTTGGTACGCCCCGCCCCCTATCTTTTTGTTATTGGACTACTCCTTCTCGTCGCCTTCGTGTACACTCCGCCCCCCTTCCTGTCTCCGGCGACCTATGCGTACCTTCCCGTTCCCCCGTCGTCCGCCTGTACACTACCATCCCCCTTTCCTTCCCCTGACGACTATGTCCCTCACCCCGGCCCTCTCCCTTAATATTCCCCCTTTCGTCTATATGACCGGACCCTGAGTCCGACCCTGACCTTTTCCCTTTTCGGTTACATTACTTTACCCTGACCCAGACCCCGACCCTTGTCGCGCCCCTTTCCCTTTTCGGTTATATTGCCCGACCCTGACCTAGACTCAGGACCCTGTCCCGCCTCTATCCCCTTTCGGTTATATCACAGGGCCCTGACCTAGGTCTTGTACTATACTGGGCCCAGCCTCGACCAGACGCGTTCCTTTACAGTCCCCTCATACCTCCCCACTTTGGTCGGTTACCTTTCCCTTCCTAATACGGTCGGTACCCCATAGTATATAAGGAGGCCTGTAGTCGGTAGGGGCTCCCCACTTCTGTTCTCCTCTTCGTTACCTCCTGTATCCCTATATCCCTCAATCTAGGGACTTGTGCGATACTCTCTCCCCTGTGTGCTACACCGCGTACTTGGATAAGTCCGCGTGATAAGTCTGGATAGACTTGTGTTAGTACTTCAGCGTAACACGCACATCGCGAAGGACGCGTAGTTCCTGTGCGGTATGGGGGCAGCCTGCATCACGAAGGATACTCGGTGCCTTGGATGCCGTGAAGCGGATGCGGTCGCGCTTGGTTTCTCGTTGCACATCATTGTTGTACCATCTCGTGGAGGGTGTTTGCATGCTTCCCTGGTTGGATGTTAGTCTGTGATGTGGTGCGACATAGGTCGTGACGATGGCTGGGACCGGTATCCCACGAACTACGACAGAAAATAAACATACACATCGCTGTATCGTTCAGCATTAAATGCCTGGTTTGTGCATGTTCCGCGCATTCAATGACAAACAGACTTGCCGCAGTTGTGATTTCGCGGTGTTGCTGTGCCGAGAAGTGTTGAGGCGGTGTCTTGCAATGTCCGCAATGATGTTTATCGTGAGATTCCTAGGAGATGATTGCGGCGATGACGAGCATTACATGCTATTGAAACTGTGACGTGCGTACTACACGATGTGGATGCTAAGTCTTCTCTGTTCAACTCCATCAGCAAAAGTGCAAAACGGTTGGCTACAGTTGGCTCGATTGGCCATGGCACTCAAAATTGGCGTAGATTATACTGAGCCCCAATCGAAGGGGAATCAACTAAAATTTGCAGGATAAAATGCCCCAAAGGTCCAGGTATAGAATATCGCACAGCCCTGTAGGGCAGACTGACGCCCTGTCCCGATTCAGCCACTGACATCTTGACGTGCTACGTCATCTAGCACCTATGACGCAACACTACGGACAAGACATAAAGCCAGCCTACTCCGGTCAGACTCTCGACAACTCTTCCACTCTGGACTCCCATCTCCCCGCTTTACTCTCCTCATCGATTTCACTGGGAGGCGTCCTTTCGCTGCCAGTGTTACTACCATACCGCACCCGCCTATTAAGGTAAGTCATCTCAGGATCATGAGCACACGAAAGTACAGGTAAGCAGCTTGAATTGGGCACGATGACCGCATATATGCGCTCCGCATGAAGGTACGTACACTCCGTGTGTGTCGCCGTCGGTAGGTCTTCGCATCTGTTTCAATATCAGTAAGTCCAAGCAACTGCGGTGAGTCTAATTGTTTCCCTGAGGTTTTTTAAGTAAGGTATGTCGTAAGCCTATGTCTCTGTCTCCACATGTGTAGCTGTTGTAGTTTACTACAAGCACATCGTACCGTTCCGTACCCTATTGTAAATTACGACGTACCCTGCAATACCATCTTTTAATCATGCCAAAATTGAACGAAATCCGATTATACCGATTAGATAAGAATATCTTAATTGTGCAATCCAGCAAATCCCGTCCCAATCAAACATGATTGAAGATAGTCGCGAAAATTGAAGCTCTTCGGGGCAAGCGGTGGTGTCAATTGGCTTCAATTGGCCTGATTTGCTTTGAATATATTTACTGCCCCTATTGGATATCAATAGAATCATAAAGAACTTAGCATGCTTGTGACAATCAGATGGCTAACTTGGACGACATATTCTTGGATGGCTTTGCACGTGTTGCAAACCAATCAAAATGCAGTTTTGCTGATGTCAGATACCGCGCCCCATGGGCACAGCCTGATCGAAAGACGCTGTCTTACTCGTCCCTCGTCCCTCCTCGAGCTCATTGTTCCACCCACCAGCAACATCTGCCCTCTACCAACCGTTTCTGAACGCAAACTCCTCGCGTCCCCCGCTGTTGACTCCACCTACCATGCGGTCCCTCGCGCTCCCAGTGGAGGTCATAGAGAGCGTCGTCGGCTGCTGCTCCGAAGACACGTATACCATCCTTGCTTTCACTCTCACCTGTCGCGACCTCCACCCTCGTAGCATCCGAGTCCTCTTCATGGAGGTCCGCCTCCGAAACAGGGATCGGCTCTTTGCTCTGTGTGACGTGCTCAAAGCGAGGCCTGAGCGTCAGCCTATGGTGCAATCTCTGTCAGTTATGTGGGAGAGATTTGCGCCGTTTCCCTTGCTGTCTATCCAGCCTTCTCTCTGACATATCACGTGTTTCAGAAGTGGACTCAGATTGGGTGGTGTACAATGCCACCAATCCAAGGCTCTACTCTGCTGCAGGCGATTCGGAGGTAGCCTTCGAAGCCTGACTATCCGACTCGCTCAATTCATGTCGTGTACTGCTTTCCTCCGCTTCCTTTCTGCCTTCCCAAGCATTGAGGACCTCACATGCGAAAGGCTCATAAAAATGTGGGAACAGTTGAAGCAAGCCCATTAGTGCAAAAGAGATTGTCTCGCCAACTGTGTCTGAGAACGTTGAATGTGAGTGCTGTTGTAGTTGTTTCGTATGGTTTCTTGACGGTAGCTCAATCTTCTCTTCCGACAGATACTTCCCCAGGTGGACAAAGAGATTACAAAATCATTGCTCGGGATAGGCCCACCGGTGACTCTCGGTTCGTTTCCCACCCTCGACCGTCATCGTTCGTATCTGAACTCTTCTCACACTTGCTAGAAACATCGCCAATTGTCCCTCCATTATCAGACAGGATCCATCAGGTTTCGCTCACATTGCGGATATCTGCTCCAACTGAGGGTATCAAACATGCCGCCAACATCTTGGCGGGTCCAGTAGCAATGAAGATCAGCACCGTCACTGTGTTCCTCTCGCACGACGACGCTGGGCGTCTATATAGTGAATGCCGTCGACCTGCCAACTTGGAGCTCTTTGCCGAATTGGAGAAGATCCTCAGCAAGTACCCAGCTCATCGCGTGGTACTAACGGTCAACCATGGTCTTTGTATGAACATGCGGAAGACAATCTCCGGTATGGACGAGTTCAGAAGGTGCTTTGCTACGATGGGTGACAAATGGGTGCTTGAAGAACAGCCCAAATACAGTGAGTTTCACTCACCAACCATGTTACTGAGCTAGGTGTTGAATTGCGTAGCTGGGAAACTAGGGCATGACTCGCGCGTCACTGCGCTTGTTGTCTCGTCAGATGGGTGATGGGTAGCGACGGCCTCCGATGATTCCACGATCATCCTGTGGGATGCCCGAGCTGCCTGCATCTCTCGAGAGTGGTTCGCACACGATGAACAGGTCAAGAGTCTTGCATTCTCACCAGACAGTCGATACCTCGCGTCAGCAGGTGGCAAAAACGTCGCAATCTGGGACAATAGCGGCGGCTTACACCAGGTCGCCACTAGCCCCGCTCAAAGTTGGCTTATTTTCGTAGCCGCCCGTATTTTGAGATCCAGCGCCAGCCCTTCATCACGACAGGGTCACGGCCGCTTAGCTCAGCCGTACCGTCGCGCGTTGATTCCATACACTCCGAGTCTCCTCGTGCACTATCCTACTTGTTCTAGTTTGGCTTTCTTGTACTTCACGGCGATCTTCCCTCGGATACTGTGTCTCAATCCTGAGGGAAGGTCTGGAAGCCCGGCAGCACCGCTGAAGACCCTCTTGCTTCGAAACGAACATCAAGTGGGTTGGCTCAGGCTAATGATAGCTACCTGCTCTGGCAACTCATCTCGGAGGCGGAGAAGGTGAAGAATAGCAAAATCTTTTTTGGGGGAGAAGTCAGACCAGTCAGCCACTACTGCTATCTAGCATCCAACTCAAGCAGCCTTGGGGCGCCCAAAAACTCTTCTCCGGAAAATAGGACTACTGCGCGTTGCTGTCATTATGATCCTCACTCTCTACTTATGTTCTGGTGGGGGATCAACCAGATCTCGGTAACATAGTGTATATAGTCTACAGCCTAGAGACCTCATCATGCAGGGTTGAGTGTCCTGAGATGGTGTGCAATGAACGGGGCTCTTGACTAGATGCCATCGCGATGGCGCTGAGATACGACTGAGCTACCTAAGCGGCTGTGACCCCACTGCCGTGACGAAGGACTGGCGCTGGATCTCAAAATACGGATGCACAAAATATGGGCGGCTACGAAAATACGCCAACTTTGAGCGGGGCTACTCTCCGAGGTCACATTTCTGTCGTCCTCGACTGCACGTGGTCAGCAGATGGTTTGCACATCGCGTCCCAGGACTCAAAGTGCAATACGCGACTCTGGGATGGACGAACTTTCCAACCGCTACCCCTCGAAGGCCCCAACAAGACCACAATCATCAAGCCCCTGTTCTCCCCTGACAGCCACTGGCTTTTATTTCATGTTCGGGACAGCTGTAGTGTTCGGGATGTGGCGTCTCACGCATACCTTGCACTCAAGTTCCAGGCAGATGGCACAGGCGATAATCCCTCGGCAGCCGCATTCAGCCGCTCGAGTACACATCTCGCTGTAGGATATGCTGGCGGGATCATCCATATATGGGATATGGAGAAACGGCAGGAGCCTCTGCGCTGGGAGGCTCACAAGGGTTGGATCCGCGATGTGGCTTTTTCCCCTGATGGTCAGCTGCTGCTCTCAGCCTCGGACGACAGGACAGTGAAAACGTGGGATGCACACACCGGTTCCATGCTCAAGGTGTTTCACGGGCACGAGTGGTGGGTGCTCAAGGCATGCTTCTCCCCGTGCGGGAAGTATATTGCCTCTGTATCTAATAGAACGGTGAGGGTATGGAGGACGAGCGATGGATCCTGCCTTGCGACGCTCTCCGACCACGGTGACTTCATCTCGTGCGTTGCATATACTCCCGATGGGACAATGTTGTGTTCTGCAGCAGACAACGGGACTGTGTTGGGTCGCCGCGTACAGGACTTCATGCCGGACGAATCCAAGTTTTGAATAGAGCTGTGCAGTGAATTGTCTACCCCTGTTCCCCGCGCATCTCGTACTACGTATATATGCTAACCGGTCTCGATCTCGCCTCAGATGTGTTGTGTAGCTTCGTTTAGTGATCTGTACGACTGTCGTTCCCGCAGATATTTCTCCTATGTCTTGTATTTGCTGATTCACACACAAACCCTTTCTGATCATGCAGCAATGGATTGCACAAGCTTGCTCCGTGTCGATCTGGAGAGTCGAATCATGCGCCAGAAATCTTTACGAACGTGCATGATGGAAATGACATCCAATCCTACGGTCCATCTTCGAAACCACGTGAGATAGCAAAGCTTGCAACTGACATTGACACATCATGAACGAACCTCGTCGTTTCGTTCTTCACTCCCTAGGCGGAAGGATTTACGACGGTGGTAACCCGGCGTCGACGGCCCAAGTGCAGACGAGAATGCTGTCAGTGATCGTGCAGCACCCGCAGCGTGTCACCCTTCTTCGATTGATGCGATGCGCATTGGCCTGTCACGAAGACGTGCCCCGCCAACCACACGAACGGTGTTCAGCAGCTGACAGGGCCCACAGTCCAGATCTCGCTCTCGTTCGTCGCCCTTCCCGATAGAGACCTACAGGTCTTCCGCTTCTTGCGTCGAGCTGCGTTTAAAGAAAGTTGCGATTTCCGCGCGACGCTATCGGGAAACTTAGCGGAGCGTTCTGTGAACAAGACTACTCACTAGCCTCTTGTTTGAGGCGGTGCGCGTTGTGCGGAAGACCTGTGACTCAAGTGTCTGTAGGGCATGCAATGACGGACTTGCCTATGAGAGCAGTGAGAAGCAAGTGCTAGGTAAGGAAAGGCGAGTCCTTCAGACACCGGGGGGGCGGCTGGGCCTGGAGTATGACTACTCACCTTGAACTTCGCTGAGAATCTAGTATGTGTTCTCCGAGATCCTACCTGAGCTGCTGCGTGTCAATGTCGGGTTTGCGACTGAAGGAGACGGTTGAGCTCGCCTGTGAGGAGCGACGAGCGGGCATGTACGGAGATGGAGTCGTGCAAGAGTGCATTAGGCGATAAGCTACTGTTGCGCAGGACTCGTGGCCGTCGGATGAGACGAGAGAGCGGTGCGAGCACAGTGCATCACGACAAACACCAGTGACAAAGCGTCCGAAGTAGTAGAGCACAGATGTTCAAGGCAAAGGCGGAGTGCGATCGGGTGCAGTCCGGGACGTGGTAAGCGCCTGCCAGGTCCGGCGTCGCCCACCGTTGTCCTGCACTGCAACGTCGCCTCGGATCGATTAGCTCGCTATAATATCCGTCAGTACGGCTTCAATATCGCATACGGTACTCCGTATATATCCTTGTTCGCTGATCCGCGCGATTGTCATCCATGGAGCCTTGTCCTGTGTTCCGTATCTGTCGAATGATACGTTGTCCCTCTCCGCTCGGGCGGCGAATAATCTCACGAGCGTGCCGCTTGATTGATCAAGGAATGCACCTAAGTAAGGAACAAGAGAACCGCCACGGAAATTCACTACGGAAAGCATGGGTCCTCCTCAAATGCTCACAACGTTGCGATGAAGTCAAGCTCCTCGTTTCACCCTCGAGTTCCAAAGCGGAGGGACCCGCAACAGCGGCAGCTCGCCGTTGATGGCCTAGAGTGCTTGAGAAGGTGCCATCAGTGGTCATGCGACACCGTCCTGTTCCCTAATGGGGCATCGGATTGTCGATTCCGGAGAAGTGCCCCTCCAATCAGACCGCAAGGCCCAATAGCAGGCAAACGGTGTTCAGCAGCCGACGGGACGGTCCAGACATCGCTGTAGGGAAACTGAGCTGAACACACTCACCGGCGGCTCGCTCGAGGCAGCGCACGATACTCGATCACGCCACTTCCGAATGTCTTGCAACGTGTGCGGGGAGAATCGTT